ATATATATATAGTACAGGTTTTAGTTATATCTATATGAAAACGAATGATTTACTTAATAAATTGGCTAGTTTAATTGGTAGAGGTGTAGGTAATTTTCTAAATGATGATTTGGGTTTCAAATCCCCTACTCAAAATAAATTCTTTTTGGCTTCCAAAAGCTTCTTTATGGCATTCTCTCTCTCTCTCTCTCTCTCTCTATATATATATATATATATATATATATATATATATATATATATATATATATATATATAAATGTATTTTTTGTTTGAATTATTTTATTAAATTAATTATATTTCATATTTTGTTATGAATATTTTTATAAAGTTTTGATGTATTTTATTTTTTCTATGACTGTATTTTTAAGTGTTTTATTGTTTTTCAAACTATCTCTTTACTTTAATGTTTTTGCCTCCACCGAACAAAATTCTTGGGTCCGCCACTGACATCATGCATAATTACATATCCATAATTTTATAACTATAAATTCGAAATTGCATACATATACATCCATAATTTCATAACTATAAATTCAGAATTGCATACATATACATCCATAATTTCATAACTAAAAATTCAGAATGAATGAAATAAAAAATGAACAACATAATGTTTTTGTTGGGAATCGAAACTGATTTTTTTTAAATAGGACGCGCGTTTTCATGCGAAACGACGTCGTTTTTGCATCCGTATGCACAACATAATTTGCCACCAGATGGCATATAATAATGGAATAAGGGTCAAATAGGCCACTGAACTGCACACTAAAGTGCAATTAGGCCATCGAACTCAAAAACAATACAATTGGGTCCCTGAACTATACAAAATCATGCAATTAGGTCCAAAATGACTTGTTTACCTGAAATGCAGGTTACCAATTTTAAAAATAATTTATAAATATATTTTAAAATAAAATAGTTAATTAAAATTATATAATTAAAAAAAAAAAAAAAAAAAAAAAAAAAAAAAAAAACTAAAACTAAAACTAAAACTAAAACTGCCGGAGACGATTCGTCTCCGGCAGTTCTAGTTTTTTTTTTTTTTTTTTTTTTTTTTTTAATTTAATTAATTTTTTATTTAAAATTTATTTTTAAAATTGGTAACCGCCATGTCAGCACAATTTCAGGTCAACAGGTCATTTTAGACCTAATTGCATGATTTTGTGTAGTTTAGAGATCCAATTACATTATTTTTGAATTTCATGGTCTAATTGCTATAATAATTTATTTACTTCTCCCCAGGCTATTTATGTAGAAGCATGTGCTTTTCTGGAAGCTTGGGAATTGGGATAGGCTGCATGATAGTGAGAAAAGTCCAAATAGTGCCACTATGGTAATGCCTTGGCAGAGGCTTCGTTCTGGTTTCATGCATGAAGATTAATGTGGACGTTGCAGCAGACATGTCACATGTCTACCAAGGCCACGGGCATGGGATGCATTCTTAGAAATGATGTGAGTGCCTTTGTTGCTCCAAGAGATCCGAGATCCGATGGTGCGGGCTTTATCAACCAAAAATCACTGAGGCAGTAGGGGTTTGTGAAGCGCTCAAATGGTTGAAGATATTAGAAAAATAACTAGTGATTTTTCTTGTATTAGTTTTGTTTTTGTTAAGCGATTCGCAAATACAGCAACTCATATGCTAGCTCGAGAGGCGATGTGTTCTCAGTTGATTGTAGGGAATGGTTTTATGTACCTATCCTGCTTTTCTTTCCGATGTAATTGCTTTTGAATTAAGCTCGGTAACGTTATGGTTTGTTTGTTTGCAAAAAAAAAAAAAAGGTGAGCATATAATAAAAAAGTTTGGAAAAGGATTGGTAGATTTCAATTACACATTAGTTTCATTTGACAATATTGTTCTGTTTTTCAATTTAATTTTTTTATAGTCACTAGTTTCATTATAACAATGTCAAAATATGTATAAATTTAATTCTACTACAGTTTCATTTGGCGATATACATTATTGTATGAGCTCTATTGTGTTGTTTCATTTTCCACACACTAATTTAAATATAATAATGCTAAAGTATTATTTTAATTACAGTACTGCTAAAGTATTGTTTTAATTACTGCTAAAGTATTGTTTTGATTACACTCTATGTTCATTTGACAATATATGTTATTGTATGGTTCTGAATTTTACTTTCTGTAACACTAAAATATCATTTTAATTCTACTACAGTTTCATTTGACAACCATAATCCACGTAACACTATGGACCATGTTCAACTGTATAACAACCGTCAAGGCAGTTAGTCCATCTACTTGTAACCATTCCCAAATAACTACTAGCAAAATGATAACCAACTAGGCAGACAATGAGCCAATTGACTTTCAACTCAAAGACCAAATCCAATTCATTTTGGGCCTATATTCTTATCATTTTCAATTAAGAACACTCCACGTCTCCACTATCACTTTATACTTGCTTTATACTAGAACTCGGCCATTTCTCTCCAGCAATTATACCGTGGACAGCGGTCCACAAAACTTTGTGAGCTATGGTCCAAAACGACAAACACTATAATGTATCTAATTTGACACTGTTTCATTTATTATTTTTATTATATTATCAAATAAAACTGCAATTGAATTAAAATGAAATTATAGTTATATTGAAATTAAACTATAGTGTATACAAAATAAAACTGAATAACAAATTTACATATTTGAATGTATATTGTTCAGCGAAACTGTAGTTATATTAAAATAATACTGTAATTGTGTTGAAATGAAACTGCAGTGCATATTTCATGTCTGGACCACAATCCAGTGTGAACCGCGGATCACAGTATAATTTGCCATTTCTCTCTGAGTGGCAATTAAGTTGTCCATCATTACTTTTTTATTGAAACATATCTCTAGAAAATTTAACTCCTTTCTATTTAGATGCTAGTATTTATATACTCGATGTGTAACGTGCCCAACATTGATGTATAATGTTAAAAGGAAATACTATTTAGACTATCAATATTAATACTCAAAAATAATGTTTTTTACGTTTATATAATGTTTATATAACATTGAAGCATAATGTTAAAAAGAAACATAAAACTTTTTAATCCCTCATTCAAAAACTTAATTAGTTTTTACGTTTATATAAAGAAAGATTTAATTATTATGGAGTAATTTTTTTTATTGCATATACTAGTATTTTATATGTGTGATGCACAAAGGCTATGTTTGACAAACATAATTGAAATGTTATAAGCTAGAAACTGAAAACTGAAGAGTTGTTAGCCTTTGATAAGCTGATAAATGTAAGAATACTAAAAAAGACATCTTTATAAAATTTACTTACTTTTAAATTTAAATAGGTTTCTTTACCTATTAAAATTTAACATTTTGAAATTAAATTATTAGCATAATCATGATCTAGCATCCTATAAAAAGTCAGAACTTTGAGGAGTTGCTGGGTGGTGAAGAGTTGTAGAAGATGATGAATAAAAACATAGGAGACAAGAAAAGGCCAAAAGAGTTTTAATTGAAATGGGTAAAGGATGTCATTTATTTAAATAATAAGAACAAATATAGAAAAAAAAAAAAGTTAGAAAACTACTAACTTATTTTTGAAATGCTACATTTTTAAAATATAAGCTTTTATTTACAAAGCTTATAGTTTATTAGTTGTTTAAAATAAGTTATAAACTCATAAATAAGTTCTATCAAACAGAACCAAAAATATATATTTAACATTAATACTCAAAAATATTAATACGGTACTTAACTACATCATTATCATTCAGAATTTGAGTTAAATGTAAATAAAATAACTCGGGTCCCTCCCCACTTATACAAATTCTTCCAAAGGCTGAACCCCAACCCTAAGGGGCCCCCACACCCCGGCCCGACAGAGCATTTGGGAGGATGTAAATCATGGTGACTCAACTGAACATGAACCACAGAGGCTAAACCAGTGCTCACTACGCACAAGGAGCCCCCCTCACTTTGAGAGGGAACATGAACCACAGAGGCTAAACCGGTTCTCACTGCGCAACTGAACATGAACCACATGAACCACAGAGGCTAAACCGATGCCGGTGCTCACTACGCACAAGGAGCCCCCCTCACTTTGAGAGGGAACATGAACCACAGAGGCTAAACCGGTGCTCACTACACACAAGGAGCCCTGAACCACAGAGGCTAGACCGGTGCTCACTGCGCAACTGAACATGAACCACAGAGGCTAAACCGGTGCTCACTACGCACAAGGAGCCCCCCTCACTTTGAGAGGGAACATGAACCACAGAGGCTAAACCGGTGCTCACTGCGCACAAGGAGCCGCCCTCACTGGTCATTCTTCCAAAGTTTCACATCTATGACCAGTTGAGCTACCCATGCGGGCACCCCACTTTTACTAATAATCTCACAGAATGTTGTTTTATTTTTACTAACAAAATATATGTTTCATTTTTTAAGTTCATCAGGTCTCCTGAGTCCTGACTTATTCACTGCACACCTTCATATAATGGTTGTGAATTTTCCTTGTCCGACAAAAAAATATATGATGTCTCAACAAGTATAATTCTTGTTATAATTATTATATTATATTATTAACAATAACAACTATGATTCATTTTGTCTATTTTAATAAGTAAAAAAATCAAAATCATAAAATGAAAAGTTGAACATAAATTCATAAGTTGTTGAACATATATAACTTTTTCTTGTTAGATAATACATTTGTAGATATACAATGAAATGTCATTTTCCTATAATTTGGAGAATACTTAGAAATTAGAAGGAAAATATGCTAACCGTAAGACAAAGCCATAAGCCCATAATGAGTCATGCAGTGCATTCTTGTTTACAATACTGAAAATTATGAAATTTCTGACCACCTGAAAGTGATCTTAAATTAAGTTGAAAGTCTTGTTCCGATCATTTTTAGTATCCTGAAAAAACTTTGTTGCTATTTCTGATCACTGGATTTGATTTAAGATCACTTTCAGGTGGCCGAAAATTTCATAATTTTCAGAAGTGTTATGTTAAAAAAAAAAAAAAAAAAAAAAAAAAAAAAACACCATTTTTCTGTCAATTGCTAGCTCCTAGCCGCCGACTAAAACTTATTTGTTCCGACATTCGTTCCTTAACAATTTTGCTCGAATAAACCTCGCCGGAGTAAATCTCAGGCGAGTGAGCCACACATCGGGAAGAACGAGGTACCATGTAAAGCCATGCGGAGGTGCAAACAATGGCCAATATTTTGCCCCAAAACACCAACGCCATCAACGAAAGAACAATAAAGCACATCATCACGTTTGAATTATGGTAACGTTTCGTCGTCATCGTCGTCGTCCTCATCATCACGGTTCTCGCCGGTTTCAGAGAAAACGGTTCCTTCGCCGCCGCCGAGGGTCTCGGCGGTTTTAGAACGAGATGTCCCCTGAAAGAAGCCTCTTCGTTTACGCTTGAATGTCTCGGCGCTATGAAATTAGTGAGTGGCCGCGGCGATGGAAACTTTCTCTCCGAGACTGACCTTGAAGATTTACGAGAAGTTGACGCCGCCGTAGATGACGAAAACCGCGACGCCGTGTCCGAGGAATCGCTAGAATTGCCCCCCAGAGATTCATCTGTGCCCCATGTTTCCTTAGACAATCTTTTTTCCCTCCTCGTCTTATGATATGTTTCCGGCGACGATTCGCAACTTGTCGTCGATGGTATATAGGTTGATGGAGACGACGACCCTTTCTTCCGAAACTTCCTCATCTGCAAATTAAAAAACAACAAAAAAAAAAAAAAAAAAAAAAAGGGAAATATAACGTTCTCAAATTAAAGAACACAAAACGTTAAATTATTTAATTCTGCAACTGGTGAGACTCAATCCTGGTCATTCTTCTAAAGTTTCACCTCTATGACCAGTTGAGCTACTAAAATTGTTTAATTACATTAGTGAATGAATGCATAATTTTTTTTTTTTTTAAATTACCAGTGATTTTTCGAACAAGATGGATTTGATGACGCGAGAAAAACTTCTACCAGATTTCTCCCGGCTTTCTTTCGCGAAGCCTCCATCCGACGACTCATATTTCCGGTCATCGAAGGGCGATGAAATATTGAGAAATCCGGCGATAACGTCACCGCCGCAGCCCGACCCTAAAGAGCAATCATCCGTTTTGGTGCCGTCGACACCGGACCGTTTAGATTTACCGGGGACAAAAGTTCCAACTAACGGTTCAAGACACTTGAAAAGCCTTCTTCTCCCTTTGGTCTTCATCACCTAGCCCCGGCGCCGGCCACAATCACACCCAGAAAGATCGATCGATCGGATCTCCTAAAATAAACTAAATGTATTCATGTGAGAGACGACGGAGTGTGGGGTGGGTGGTATGGGTGCGGTCGGTCTGCGAACGATCGAGAAACCGAATGGAGGGACGTGACGGCATGGCAATGGAGGTTATGCCATCAATATTTATGTTGGAAACATGGACTTTAATGGCGTTTCGATAACAACGGCCGCCTTTGACGCTGTCGACGACCATTATGTCTTTCTTTATTCCTTCATTTACTATTCTATAATAATAATTCTTGAATTTCATTTTTTACTCTTTCAAAAATACAATTTCCACTAAATTTTTATGGTAAATATGTTTTACTGAATGCTATAATAATTTCATTAGTTTAACGTATCCTACCTCAAGTTAATTACATAAAAACTAATTAATGACTAGTAAAAAAGTATTCAAAATATTTTATAAGTTGGGAAAATTAATATTGAAATAGCTAGTATAAGGGTATGTTTGAAGACACATAAAATATTTTCTTGAAAATGATTTTCAAAAAATAATTTCTTTTTTGAAAATTATTTTAAATTTTTAGTGTTTAACTGAAATGCATAATATTTTTTTATTAATTTTCTCATTTTTTAAAACATGAATATAAATATTTTACAAAGTTATTTCTTATAAAATACAAATTAGTTTATTATGATAATAATAATTATTATTATTTATTTTAAATTAAAAATTATAATGTTTATAAACATTAATAATAATTATAATAAAAAGATGTAAATAAAATATTTTTAAGTTGTAACTTATTATAATAAAAATAAATACATAAGTTGATAAATATAATAATTATGAACTTAAAGTTGAAAAAAAAAATTATTTAGATGTAGGTTGGGCAAGTCAAGATTTTATTGTTTGGCTCAGATAGATCGAAATGACTCATTTTTAATCAATATTAATAAATTTAATAACTTTGAACTTAAAAGAAAAAAAAAAAAGGAGAATTCTTTTAAAATACATTTTGGGTTGTAGGTTGGAACAAAAATTTTATTATTTGGTCCAACTCATTATAATATATATATATATATATATATATATATATATATATATATATATATATATATTGAAAACCATTCTAATCTATATTTTAATTAACCATGGATAAATGTAATAAATATAAACTAAATGAATTAAAGAAACAAAAACTTAAATCTTTTAAAATTTTTAATGTTTGGATCAATCTAACCAAATTCAAAACTTTTTAATCCAACTAATCCAATCAAGTTCAAATAATAACAAAATATATGGTAGACCAACATCCCCATTTCACACCACTTAGAGGGGGAGGAAGAGAGAATTGTGCCTAAAATATGAGTTTCGAAATTGTCTTTTGAATAAAATTTTTATTATTAAAGATATTTTAGGTTAAAAAAGATCCTTTTTTTTTTTTTTTGTGACCAAAATAAGTATTTTTTATTGTCTTCATTTTTCGTCAGTAGCCAACAAAAATATAATAAACCATGAAATGAAAGTATTTTCTGAATTTCTAGACAAATCCTAAATATGTATAGAGGGGAGAGACATTCTAATTTTAAATTGAAAAATAGTAATTTTTCCTCATATTTTTTTAATATTTTCTTTTATGATGTGACTTATATTAATAGGATGACATGAATTGACTGGCCCCATTTTTTTAATTAAATGTTTGAAAGAAAAATTTTAAGGAAAATGCATTTCTAGTATTAGGGCTCGTTTGGTTCGCGGAAATTATTTTAAGAGAAGTGGAATTGGAATTTCATGGAAAAACAATTACTAGGAAGATGAATTTCATTGTTTGGTTGGTGGAAAAAGAATTACTGGAAATACTAATTCTATTGTTTGGTTAGATTTGGAATTGTAAGGAATAATGGGTATAAAGACCTATATGCCCCTACAAATTAATAAAAGTAATATAATTAAAAAAGAAAGTAATGGTAAAATAGGCAATCTATTCACTTTTTCTTCCCATTTTCCATGGAAAACAAAATCCTTGGTCTAACCAAGGATTTTGTTTTCCTCAAATTTGAAGAATTCATTTTCCAATGAAAAATGAATTCCATGAACCAAACACTAGAAAACATCATTTTCCTTCACTTTAAGGAAAATGTTTTCATTTTGGAAAACATTTTCCATGAACCAAACATCCCCTTACTCTTTTAAATTATACAGCTAAACAAAGTATTTGGTATTACCAAGACTATGTGGTCTAATGGTATCCGAGTTGGACTTTCATTTGGAAGGTTGTGAGTTTGAGCCTCAGTAGAGGCCTTAGATACTGCAAGGCATTATTCAAATTTATAAACCCCCAAGACCCAATAGCATTCAAAAAAAAAAAATATTTGGTATATTAAATTATACAGGAAAATGCATGCCTAGCGTTACAAGGCATTATTCAAATTTATAAACCCCCAAATAAAAACAAGTGTTTACATGCACACTATATTCAGAAATCAGAATCATGTTGAACCGCCGTGTCTTCATCCTCCTTCTTGAATTGTTTTCCGATCCCAAAATGCGCCATCAGCAGCCTCACAAACGTCAGCAGCTCTCCGCCTTTGGTCAGATACTGAACGTCTCCTCTGCAATGGCAGGCTCCATAGCACAGCATCTCCACCCACACTCTCGCCATCATTTCCCACACGTGATTCTTCTGGGCCACGTCGGGATGATGCGCCGTCGCCGCCGTGGGGTTTTCCGCATCCTCGCCGCCGTCCAGCAGCTCTTTCAGCATCCTGGCGAGCGCGACGGCGTCGCAGAGCAGTGACTTTCTCGGCGGCTCGTAATGCCCCTCGAAATTACGCTTCGTCTCTTCTTCTACCAAGAATTGGCACACTTCTTTCCTGGCTTCGAACTCCTTCTTCTTCTGCTTCCGTTCCCACTCCGTTATCTCCATCCTCGTCTCCGCGTTGTCAAGATTCACGTTCTGGGGAAGCATCTTTTTCATCTCCTTCCAAACGGAGTTTATTTGGTACTCTGGGTACCTGTAAAAGGATTTTATTTGTTTCAGTTCTTCCTTTTTCTTCTCAATTTCTTCCCTTCTCTTCTTCTTCCGCTCCCACTCCGGCATCTGGTCGGAGTCTATCTTTTTCATTCTGATGTATTGTCTGAGATGGAGATGGGTGTCTCTAACCTCTTGCCAACATATGTCTCTGAATCTCATCCCCACGTTTCCCGGCACCGCCGACGTTATTTTCCCCTCCATCATCAAAAGGTAGGCTAAATATTCCGACACTTTTCTGCAAATCTCCACGTTGGGATCGAGTTCCTCTTTCTGCGCCGTGAAATAGCAGATCTCGGTGGCGATGTGCCACATCAGCACGACATTATCGTACTGCGCGCCGGCGATTTTCGGCCGGAGTTTTTCTCGGCACAGCGGGCAATCCTCCAGGACGCTTTCGCCTCTATAGGAATACATCTCCTCCGCCGTCTCGTCCGTGTCTGCACGCGCCGCCTTCTTCTTTATCTCGTCGAAAATCATGGCCTTCAACTTCTCATCCACTCGATCGGTTTTGGTGTTCTTGGAAGCTTCCATTCTCTCTGTGAGCCCGAAGAACTCGAAGATCTTTCGGGAGATTTTCCATTGTTGCTTCAACGAGTGCTTGATCAAACTGTACTGCTGGATCTCCTCCGACCACCGCATTTCCGCCGATATCCACCGTCTCACCTTGTTAACAATTTTTGCTCCTCTCTTTCTCGCTTTCAATCTCCATTTTTCATTGTTCATCATCAGAGCTATGGTCCAGTCGCAAAAGAAGTGCTTTACCAGAGCTATCAAGTCCAGAACAACCGCAGATCCGACCAGGCAGTAGGTGACTTGAATGTCGTGGTGGCTGACGTTGTTTTTGGGGTGGACGATAAATACGATGAGAGTTGATATAATGAGAGCGGCGCAACCGATTCGGAAGACGTAGCCGGCGATGTTCCCCTGAACGGCGATCATCTTGGTGAACATGGCGTCGTACATGAAGTTGAGCTCCACTTGCGTGACCTCGAATGCTTCCTTGTAAGATGGTAGGCGTAAGAAGAAACCCCTGCTCTCTTCACGCAGGGTGAAGCTGAACACATGATCGACGATGACGGCTTTATATTTCCGGTACAACTCGTATCCTTTCGTTAGAATCTTAATGTCCTTCTCGTGCTTGTCGGTTTCGGCGGCTAGTCCTATCTCTTCCTCCTCAAATTGCAGGCGTTCTCTGAGATACGAACGCAGTTTAGCTTCGATTTTAAAATGAGCAAATACCAATTTTGATCCACGAGTATTAATAAAATGATCGTTTTAGTCAAACATGTTTAATTCCTACTAATTTTCTATTATTTTAGTAACAATTTTCAATCATGACTATTATTTTAATGCCAAAATTCATCACGTCAGTCACCTCTCCGTTTAAGACGTGTCAAAATCTAAAGTTTTTAAGGGTATTTTCATTTTTTTTTTAACTTAACATACTAATTTGAGCATGAATAAAGAGATTTAAGTCCTAAGATCAATCTTAATTCGCAATTCTCCTCCTCATTCTACGTTAATTTGAGTAGGAAAATTACGAATTAAGATGGATTATAAGGTTTAAATTTCTTTATTCATCCTCAAATTGAGATCTTAATTTGAAAATGACAAAAATACCCTTCATAATTTCATATTTCAGCATGTCTTAAATGGAGTGACCGACATGATGAATTTTGACACTAAACCAATAGTCCTAGATGAAAATTGGTATCAGATTAAACATTCAAATCAAAACTGTCATTTTGCTAATAATAGTCGTGGGACCAAAATTTATATTTGCTCATTTCAAAATATTGATTTTGGGTTCTAAATTTTAACCGGAAGTGTTGAAACTGAAGTGTGGTGGTCCTACCTGGCACTTCTGCCGTCGACGTTCTGGCGCATGGACTTCCTCATACTGACCGACGAGGCCAGGTTGAGCGAGCGTATGTTTTCGCCGTACTTGATGACACCGGCGGCGAAGGTGAGCAGCGTGGGGATGAGGAATTCATCGTTGGCATGTATCTTAAAACGGTAGAAGACGAAGAGAACGGAGAGAAGTTGGACGATGAGGGTCAAGAGGTAACGGAGCCAGAGGTCGTTGTCTTCTATGGAGAAAGCGGTGATGGTGTCGGGTCCGCCGAGGTGGAGCAAGAGAAATGGCGCCCAGAGAGCGACGACGCTGTTCTGTTGGTTGGCCTCGTCGGTGCCGTAGTTGTTGATGAGGCCGATGGCGAAGGTGGCTACGTAGTGGGAGAGCAGATAAACCAGCCAGAGGATGACCAGGGTGCGAGATTTCTTGCTTCGTTTTCGCAATGGCGCGCAGAAAACCAGAAGGACCTGGAAGGCCAGGCTAGCGATCACGGCGACTTGGACGTTGGAGTCGCCCCAGAAGTTCTTCAGAAACTTCAATATTTCGCCCAATGGAAGTGACGAATTCTTCAGCGAATCAGGCATTTCGATCAACCTAAATAGATGAACATTATTAATTTATACATTTTTAGATGAGACTAGGGAGAAAATAAAGCTTAAGTTACCTGATTAAGTGTCGTTTTAATTTCTTGGATGCTCTGATAGATCTTATTCGATCTTCAAATGCATTGCATGCATGTGTTGAGCTAGTGGTGATCTTTATGTAGAAAAGATGAGAGCATCCATAATCCTTGCTGGACTGGCTTGCTTCTTTAATTAACTGAAACCTTGCTTCCACAATTAATATACGTTATATTCTCTCCCATCACTCGCTCACGCCATGCCCTTATTCTCTTTTTACTCTTCCACCAGGTGTTTCACGATTCACCAACCTGGTTAATTAATGTTGTGTCTAAATGGGCTGGGCAATAAAATGAGAGAAAATTTCTTGATGTGAATCTGGGTGAATTCTTGACTCGCAATAGGCAACCCTTACTGATTGGAGAGACAAACTTATAATTTTGTGGTTACTAACAATTAAGCAAGAGGTTGCTTGCAATTTTTTATTACTTTGCCTAACTTTACTTGATTAATTTTGAGTAATGTCAGTCTATATATATCATGGGTAAGTAATAAATAGTAAACAATTGTTTCACTTTTATATGTATCACTAGATAAATATTTTTTATAAAAACTTAGAAAAAAGAGATGGAAGCTAGGATAAGTTTAATTTTCTTGTTAGTGTATTTTAATTTGAAAATGGAGATTGAAGAACTTATTTATTTGATCCTTATATTTTTCACAGATTAAAGAAAAAACATATTTGGTCAAATTACTTCCCCTATTTTTGCTTTGTAATCTTTGCTTAATTACATTTTTCCCCATTCAAATACTAGAAAAAGAAAAAAAAAGAAATATTACAAATATTTACCATATTTCAACTCATCTAATTGATCTAAACCTAGCCTAAATCAGACCAAATCCCAAAAACAAAACAAAACAAAAGATATATAGTGATTTGGGATTAGGTTTTACACCAAACAAAGGTATAGGCGTAAGAGCATTACCTTAGTTGATTTTTGTTGTTTTTTTTGGGCCATTAGTGAGGTGGAAGCGAAAGAGAAAGATGAGAGAAAATGTTTGAGCTTCTCATGCAATAACCTAGATTTTCATCTTTACATTGTGCTCTACCAAATATGAAAAAAGTATTGTTGGTTTGCGTGTGGCGCAACAAAAGCGCCTAATCGGGCGCGTGCACTCCACGCGCTTGCTGGGCGCGTTATTTCATTTCTTTTTCCTTCTTTCCCTTCTCTTCCATATTCTATTTCCTACCTATTTCTGCAAAAAACAAATAAAATCCCAAAGACAAATTATTCTGTAGACCCGGGTCCACCTTGCAAGGTTGACTCAGGTCCAAATGTTCACAATTTACTTTTTAAAAATTCACAATTTGTATACTACGAACACACAATGTTAACATATATGTAATTGATTACTTTTTTACATTCACAAGTTCCTTTCAATATTTAATGCATTCACACAATATTAACATATTAGGATTTAAATATTTAATGACCCTGTATTATATTCACAAATTTCCTTCTACAGTTGTTATGTATTTTGACTTAAAAACACAATTTATATTCTAAAATTTCACAATTTCAATACTAAAAACACACAATTATAGTCGTTTAGGACCAGTGTCTACTTTACAAAGTGGACCCTGATCCATCGTATAACAACTCAATCTCAATCTAATGGGCTTGCTCTAATAGATATGAAAACTCACAACTACAATGACAGGGTTTCAGTCCAACAATGTCTTTTTCTTCCTTCTAGAATGTTGGCCCAAAACGGCAAAGCCCAATGGTATCCTACTTGGCAAATTATGCTGTCCAACCGTGTCCATCTTGCAAGGTAGATACGGTTCCAAACTGTTCATAATTATGTTGAATATATAATTAAAATTATGAACATATAGTTCTATAGTTATGAATATAGAGTTGTGAATATAATTATAAACATATAATTTTGTAATTATAAATATAAAGCTTCAATAATTGTAAATATGAAGTTTAAAAATTATTAATATATAGCTTTATAATTATGAACATAAAGTTCAATAATTATGAACATAAAATTCTATAATTGTGAATATAGAGTTCAATAATTATAAATATATAATTTTATAATTATGAGCATATATAAAATTGTGTTTACCTTGCAATGTGAACACGATTCCACAGCATAACGATTGTATCCTACTTGGAACCGTGTTTGGTGAATATCCCATGTTCTTTTTGACCTGGTAAAGAATGAGAATGAATATTCAATTCAGTTATCATGAAAGCCACCATCAGTCAAACGGATAATATTGGGTTACAAACTTTATCATTTTCAAATTTAATTGCTTTGTGGAGCCGATAATATAAATAATTAAATATCAATAATATATACACGTGTCATAAACTATTTTAAATGGCATACAATTTAGAATTTGCTTAACAAAAGATGCCTAAATATAATTTTTTAAATTTCAACCGTCTACAAATTAAAATAAAAATGTTACTTTAATTATCTAATTAATATTAAGTTGTACTCCGTATATAATAAAGTGATGGATATTTATATTCGATATAAACTGATAAGACTAATTCATTTAAAAAAAATATTTTCATGTACTTCTAATTCATTTTATATTGTAGCCGCTAACACTAAACAATTAATTTGTTAAATACTTTCTTACAAATCACTAAGTGCATGTTTCGTTGGTTGTAATTGTATTTCTTTTCAAGCCTAAATTTTTGACATGATAAATTACAGTGTTTTGTTGGAGGGAATGGTAATTCTACGGAACTGCAATCTCCTCATTTTGTTGAATTGTAATTCATGTACCTCTCTATTGGGAATTCCAATTCAGTGATAGATAGGAAAGTGAACAATGAGAATTACTATATTGCCCTGGATTATAATAATAATTATTATTATTATAATATTATTATTACACAATGACATTTTAATCTTTATACCACTTCTTCCCTTCTCATCCTCAATAATTCAATTTCTCCTTACTAAACAATGTAATTTAAATTCCTATTTGATTCCCACCGAATTACAATTCATCCCCTCACCCCCTCCTAATTAAGTCCTTTATTCAAACCAAACGCCTTGTTATGATACAAAATCAATCACAGTTAGTGCCTTAACTTTTAAAATTTTGTTATATTTAATGAAATATAAAATTTATTTTAGATGGCTAACAATATCAAAAAACAAAAAACAAAAAACAAAAAAAAAAAAAAACTCCTTATTTTTGAAAAAACATTGAAACTTTTATTTTTATTTTTTAATAATATAAGTGTTGGTTTTATGGTTTTTGGGTCCAAGAATGTCCAACACAACCGTGGTTCGTTGATTCACCGATAAAATAGAAACTACTAAAAGAGAGGCAACTAGGAACTTTGCTTGTAATTTGTAGGATAGCCTGTACATATTTTTATAGGAATAGTGCTACTTTGATACATAGTGATGGGGTATGCTTCTTATGGTATAAGAGTGGTAGAGTGTTCTCATGTGTGATGAATGAATAATGTCTCTTCTAGCAGGGAAGAGAGATGAAGTCTCCTCTTGTGGTAAAATGAAATCTTCTTGGGAGAGTGGTGTATGAAGAGTGTTTGGGAGAATGAATAATATGTGGTCTTCTAGTATGGGGAAAGGTCTTTCTGTGTAGAAGAATGATGTCCCCCTACTTCTTCACCCTTCCTTGGTTTTATAGCTCCAGTCTCCCGTTTGTAGCCGTGGGGTAGGATTAATATGATTTTATGAGTAGATAATTAGGGGGTTATGGGTATTAAGTTGGGTGGTATGTAAATAGGAAATTAATTGGTGGTTTAGTGGAATTTATTGGTGGTTTTATAGCTCCAGTCTCCCATTTATGCTAGGTCTTTATTGATAATAAAGGGAAATTTAATGGGTAATGAAGGGTAATAATTAGGTAACTTAATTGACCGGGTTTGAGTGATTCAATCGGGACTAGGCGATCCAATTGAGTCTAAATATCAAATATCCATCAATAGATTTTTTAGCTTTAGTGGATTATATCCTAAACTCCATAAACTCGCCTTTCAATCCACAAAAAAATAATTAATCAGTTAAGTCAATATAACTTCGAGATTCAACACTTAAATATACGTTTCTATGCACAAAAAATATAATACAAACCTTTAATTTCATTGAACTAAATTTAGATTAGAAAACATCTCTAAATTAAAGACCTCTTTCTTTGCTTTAAAAAAAAAAAAAAGACCTTTTTTTTGTTTCTATTTATAAAAAAATGAAAATCTTTTCTAAGTTTCTGAGTAGACCCTACGGCATACACTTTTACGTTGGGGGATTTATTTGTTTCGGAACAGTGGCGCGTTTTTTGAAAGTCTCATGAAACAGTTAACTAGGCCCCACAACGGAATCATGATCATTAGGCGAAAATTTCATGGTCGTGTAGCCACCGTTGGATTTCCCATTAGAGCCCCGCGAAACTTCTTCTCCGTCGTTAATTTCTGGCGGAAAAAACCTACCAACTTGTCATCTTCCTCTTAAACCCCCTAAAGGCTTCCAATTTCTCGGACGCGTTTCCTCCTTTTCTGTTATTTATTATATTTTTCTACGTCGCTATATCTTCGCGTTTAATGGCACGCGGATTTTGATAATTCATTCTTCTTCAATAAAGAGTTAACTTTTTCAAAATTATCCGCCTAATAATATATATAATATCTCTTCTGGTATAGATAAACACAATTACAAGTGCGCACTATATTACATGTTTGGTAAGAGAGGAAGTTGAAGTTGAAGTTGAAGTTGAACATCTTCATTGTTGAAACTCTGATTGCATTTTATACCAGTGCACGGAATCTGCGTTTGGCAGCGAGGAAGTTGGGCTGAATATCCGCAGGCCTTTACCGAATTGCAACTGAAATTCTCAGCATATAGGGAAGAATTTCTCGGCAGGTAAAGTATCTAATTTTTATTTTTTAAAATTTCTTCTTCAATGTGCCGCGTGTACAGTAAGTAAGGGGAAAGAATAAATATGCCTAGTTGATGTGGAGTTTCTGAATTCTGAACAAAGTTTCTGTGAATAATATTATGCGAAGATTGGCGAGAAGATCGCGGTCCATAGTGAACGATTTGGAGATGTCCTTTCGCAATTTCTTCCATAAACGGTGATGAGCTTATTAGAACGCCAACGGTTTTGTTTTAGGGAGGGGATGGATTTCCTGCTTTTTTGTTTACTTTTCGATTGAAACTCTGGATGATAGTAATTACGTTACTATTTGGCTTCAGCTAGAGTAAAAATATGCGAATTTCATTTTGTACAGATTGCTTCTCTGTTGAGCTGTTTTAGTTCTTTTTAGTTGATTCATTCGTGAAGTTGAGAATTGGTATTTATCCGTGGAATACTTTTGAGTTAAATTGGCTCACATTTATGATATTTGCTTGTGGAGTAAGGATGACTTGGGAGCTACTGGCTACATAGAACTGAATTTCAGTGTTTAATGTAAATTTTGATTAAACCTTGCAGCAACAGTGCAGCTGTGAGCGGCATGGAAGCTGAGAAGGTTTTGATGGATTACTACATTCCCGATTACATACTTTTGCCCGGAATAGAAGCAACGGTGGATCATGACTTACCTGCTTGTCCTATCATAGTGTTTATCAATTCTAGAAGTGGTGGGCAGCTTGGTGGTGAACTTCTGTTGACATATCGTACTCTTCTCAACCAAAATCAGGTCCATTTATTTTCTTTTGTGTTTGTGACTCCTGTTTTCTGTTAAATGTGTAAAAAATTCAGGAATTAATTTATTGACTATAATAAACCGTGACAATGTGTGTGGATTCCTGAAAGCTTTAGCAAACTAATTTTTTTTTCCAGGTTTATGACTTGCGAGAATGGGCTCCTGACAAGGTGCTACACCAGCTTTACTCCAACTTGGAAAAGCATAAGCAAAATGGAGATAGCTTGTCTTTGGAAATTGAGAAAAGACTGAGAATCATTGTGAGTCCAGTCATTAGTTTGCTGGTCCTTATGACTTGTTCTGTTCTGTGTATCTTATATAGAGTTGGTAAAATAGGTTGCAGGCGGGGATGGAACAGCTGGCTGGCTTCTTGGAGTGGTTTCAGATCTTAAACTAGCCCGCCCACCACCAATTGCTACAGTACCTTTGGGAACAGGAAATAATCTCCCATTTTCATTTGGTTGGGTAAGATTTTGTCTGTTGCTTTCATTATACGCTTCTTTATCTTTGAATGTGCTTGCAGATTCTAGAGAATAGTCATTTATCAGTGGTAACATTGTACCTGTATAAAGCTTGTTTATACTTCACAGGGGAAAAAAAATCCTGGTACAGACTGCAGTTCTGTGAAGGCCTTCTTGGATCAAGTAAGGAATGCAAAAGAGATGAGAGTTGACAGGTAAAATGTTTTATTCTCTAGGGGAACGAATAGACAACTGTTGAACATATGTCAATTATTGACAGTTCAAATTGGTTTTGGGGGATAACAGTCAAATGTTTTAGCTGAGATGAGATAGTAAAATTTGTCTCACCAGACTTATCGATATCTTCCTTTGTGGTTCAAACTGAAATTTCCTGAATTGGGATTACATAATTGTCTTCTTGTTTCAGCTGGCATATTCTTATGCGAATGAGGGCTCCTACTGAAGGTTCTTGTGACCCTATTGCCCCTCTTGAGCTTCCACATTCAATGCATGCGTTTAAGCGGGTGTCTCAAACAGATGCTTTAAATGAGGTAACAAGTTTGTGTCCTCTTAGAGCTTTCTTCTTATGGCACTAATTTGAATAGCTGTAAATATAAATTTGAGCTAAATGCAAATAAAATGTTTTTAATAGTACTTAATTACAGTTCCTATGATCTTTTCTTCTAGAGACTCAAATATAGCACTTTTAAATGATCATGGCTCAGTCTGCAGAAAGAGATGTTTAACTCAATATCTTAATATGTCATCTTTTAAGATCTTGGCTGCGTAGCTTTAGAAATAACTGAAACTGAAGCTTATACTAAGGTCAAATGAAGAAAGGGAAACTAATATGATAGCTGAATGCAGGCATTATTTTGACCTGCCATGCTTGAATTTCCTTCATCATTCTCTATTAATGCATATTCTACTTGTTTTTAGGATGGTTACCACACATTTCGAGGAGGATTCTGGAACTACTTCAGTATGGGTAAGTTTATAATCTTCCTCTACTTTACTCTGGTAAATCGTAGAATCTACACAATATCCACAATTTTTGTTGCTACGCTGTTTAGATATGTCACAGTCACCCCTATCTAAAAGTGAGCTCTTCCCATGTATTGAAAACACCAATGTCTTATACCTATAATTAACTTCAAGTCAGACTGCCAGTAAACAACTTTACTAGGCCTTTATCAGTATCCTGTGCATGGAGCTCGCGAGATACTTTTCATTTTCATTTTATCTTGTGTTTTCTTGATTTTCATATGTTAACTGTGCAGGGATGGATGCACAAGTTTCTTATGCATTTCACAGAGAGAGAAAGCTACATCCAGAAAAATTCAAAAACCAATTAGTTAATCAGGTGCTCAACTGCCCATTGCTCTTTCAAAATGATTCAAGTTTCATAATGATAATTAAAGCTTATATCACTGATGTATTTGAGTTTCTTCAGAATTTCCTTTGTACTGATTTTTCTCCCTCTATTTCAATTAGACTACCTATGCAAAGCTTGGCTGTACTCAAGGATGGTTTTGGGCTTCTCTTACACATCCATCTTCAAAGTTAGTGTCTTTATGTGGAATAATAAACTGTTTTTGTTACAATATGCATTCCCTTGTCATTCCTTGAACACTATACTATTATCTGTTCATCAATTCATACTGGAGATAATTAATGGGCTTATGCTATGGCAGTATTGTTTTCTTCATTGGATTTTATTCTAAGCATAAGATGTTGATGCTGTGAACCAATACCACATCAACTCTAATAGGGATATATAAAAATTGCATCTTTAGTGCATAATATTTCCTTTTTAATTATTTGCCATGGTCTCATGTAGATATTACCTGTGGAAGAAGACATTGACGTCTCTTTCCAATACATTAATCATGTGTAGTTGCAATTTGATGATGATTGTTTCTTTTTCCTTAATTGTCAATGTTAACACATTACTGTTGGGTTGTCATTGGCAGAAACATTGCACAGCTGGCTAAGGTTAAAATTATGAAAGCAACAGGTGAATGGATTGAACTCGAAATACCTAAAAGGTAATGCATATGGTGATTTCTGGCAGTTAATAAACAAGCATCCAGCACATTTTAAGAGTTGAATTTAATATATGAATTATGAAATACATCATACACATTTTGGGGAGGTTTTCTTACTAAGGGTGTTAAAAATAATGTGTGCAGCATCAGGTCTATTGTCTGCCTCAACCTCCCCAGCTTTTCTGGTGGACTCAATCCTTGGGGAACTCCCAATAAGAAAAAGCTCCATGAGGTTAGTTTTGGTTATAATAAATGCATATCTACAATATATAGTTATGTGTATTTCTTTGAATTAACATTGTGAATGGATATTTAAACAGAGGGACTTGACTCCTCCCTATGTTGATGATGGTCTGATTGAGGTTGTTGGCTTTCGGGATGCTTGGCATGGCCTTGTTTTGCTTGCTCCAAAAGGGCATGGGAGACGTCTTGCCCAAGTAAGTTAACTGGGTTGTAATTAAAGATCTAAATCATTCCATGATTTTCAAAGCTACAAAACTTATTATTAGTACATTGCAATGTGATGTGATGTGATTTGGGTTTATATATATGTGTAGGCACACAGAGTCCGGTTTGAGTTCCACAAAGGTGCTACTGACCATACGTTCATGAGGATTGACGGCGAACCATGGAAACAGCCCCTTCCTCTAGACTCAGACACGGTTGTTGTGGAAATTTCTCATTTTGGGCATGCCAACATGCTTGCTGCTCCCAACTGCCGATCTAGAAGTGTTCATGCTCCACACCACACTGTAGATGATGATGGTGATGATGATGATTATGACAGTGATGAAGAGGATGATTTTGAGTCGTCTGAAGAGCGGAGGAAGTTCGGTGCGGCCAACACTTTTCACTATTCGGATAAATTTGATGATGCACAAAACTAAGCTGTCTGGGACCGCTACTGTACTATACAACCCCACTGGCCCACTGTATATAGCATGGTTTCTCATTCTTTTTCACTCGATCTCTTGGATTGATTCCTTTATTCCTTTTGGCCGCGCATCGGAGAAGCAAGATAGAACTGTAACTTTAATTTGCCACGATATGCGGTACGGTTAGGCTCCGTAGGTAGTTAGTAGTACCCATGTTTAGTCTAGTCACTGAAACCTTATGTGTATGACTAAACACTGAAACCTTATGTGTATAAACTGACATGTACTTTCAAATTGTACTCCACACACTAAATCTTAATATAAACACTTGTATTGATATCCATATAAAAAATAATAATAATAAAAAAAAATGATCAGCATCCGTCACCTCAAGTAAAATTTAGTAAAAGTACATATTTCTAAATAAAATTCTGCATCCCACTGTATATTGTAGAAAACAATGTGCGTCCCAAATCAATGGGTGAAACCAGCTGTTTTATACACACTGATTATTTCCTTTCCTTTCCTACTTAAAGAGGCTGCTGCCCCATCCTGCCTCTCTCATCAAACCAAACCTTGGAAAAGTTGTTCATCGGATACGACTCTAATCATTACTCTGAAATTTGATTTACATCACTCACTCGGAAAGGAGAAGAAGAGGAAGAATGAGTTCAGGAAGCAGAGCGTGGATTGTGGCGGCTAGCATGGGAGCTGTGGAGGCCTTGAAAGACCAAGGCTTCGCAAGGTGGAATTACGCTTTGAGGATGATCCAACAACACGCCAAATCCAACGCCGTCAGGTCCTACTCCCAGGCTACGAGGCTGTCTTCTCCCTCCTCCGCGTTGGTCTCCAGCAAGATGAGGGAAGAGAAATTGAAGAAGTCGGAGGAGTGTTTGAGAAGTGTCATGTATTTGAGCTGTTGGGGACCTAATTAATAATTGATCTGTGTTGGGTCCCTGTATAGATATGTGTAATTAGAGATGAATCATATGAATTAATATAGTGATTCTTCTTCAACTCAGCTGTTTCCTGGCATCATATCCGATCCACGCCTAGCTTAGCTTGCCTTTTATGTCATCTTTTCCTTTGCTAATTTTAGGGTTTTCCTAACTGCTCACTTCGTTTCAAATCCAATCTTATTTTAGGTTGGTCATTGGTGTATTCATACGCTTCGAGGGTTAAGTACTTATGTGGAAATTAAGGGAAAATGGCACTTTTTACCCCTAAGTTATATACTTATAGCACTTTTTTCCCCTCAATTATTTAAGTAAGCACATTAGCCTCTTCAATTATTCTAAAAGTGGTGCTTTTTCCCCCTGATCTATTAAATTGACATTTATACCCTTAAAGTAAACATTTTATTTATTTTACTACTCCAACAAATTATTGCTGGTAGGGAATATCCCGACCGACATAAGCTCCACCACGACCGACTTGCCTTTGTCTTTCTCTTATGATCTTTTCAGGTGGCAGGTCGGGCCTTTTCCATGAAGACCCCGGTCGGGAATGGCCGGGAGTTGCCCGAGCGCTGATGTCAACCACCGAGCGGTAGCCCTTCGACGAAAGAGCTGGTACAAGGACGCGAGAGGACGCGTGGCGGCTCTTCATGGCGACAGACAGGGCACCCGGGAAGATGACACGTGGTGGCTACGTGGAAGACATGCCGAGCGGCAGGAATCTTGTCCCCGGCATAGCGGCTATAAATGCCCACAGTAGCTACAGTGTAGAGGACTTTTGGACGATCGATAGGTTGTTGTTAGAGAATCCCGACCGCAGTCAGTCGGTACTCAGAACAACCAAGTAGATTGTACTTAGGGCCTTTCCCGGGATCAATAAAGATTTTACTTGCTTTAATTGGTCTCGTGATATTTTATATTGCTTACGTAGAATTAGCAGTATCATTTTGGCGCCGTCTGTGGGGACCCGTCCAAGAAACCAACGTCTTGACGAGCACCCGATCACCATATCGACATGTATCCGTGGGCACACAACAACTTCGCCGACGACCAGGCGGACGCGGCGAGCTCCTCCGACCACTACGCTACCCAACAGCAGGGTCAGACGATGGACCTCAACCTCAACCTCTCACCACCGCATCCGTCAAATACGTACCCGGCCGCCCAGCAGCCGGTGAATTACATACAGCCGGGATACCCACCACCCGGTCTGCCATACCAGCAGCAGCCGATGATGTATCCCGCTCAGTATCCGTACGCGGTCCCACCTCCACCGTATGGGTACTGGCCAGGCCAACCGATATGCTACACTTCCCCGGTTGGTTATCCACCATATACGCCAGCTTATACAGCTCCAGCCGCCGCCCCTCCAGTACAACCGACCGCACAAGTAGAGCCGCAGCGTCAGTCCACTTCCCGGGCTCGACGCTCGGCTCATTCGCGGTTGGGGTCGGGGGGTGCTGATGCGATGGAGGTACCAGCTCAGGCCGTTCAAGCGGAGGACCCCGAAGAGGTTGCCCGAGCGGTGGCTTTCGATCGTCTCCGACCAGAGATGCGCCAGCGTCTGGGACCCCAAGACCCGAATCGCGGGCAAGAGGACGTACAAATGCAGGAAGCTAGCCACGAGGCTTCATCCGGGTATAGCGGGTCGAGAACTCACCGACGGCGACGCGCTCGGGATACAGCCCAAGCCGCCCAAGCCGCCGAGCTCAACGAAACCCGAGGATTGCTCTACAACCTCCAGGCTGAAGTTGCGCAGCTCAGGAGTGCGTATCCTACAGCACCCCCGGCCGACCGATCGACCCTACACCAGACGCCTTTCACAGCAGCGGTAATGGCTCAGCCTTACCCGCTCGACTTAAAGGTCTCGGGAGAGAAGAGCTACGACGGTCGGACAGATCCTGAGGCTCACGTGAATGATTTTTTCAGCAATATGATGCTGAAGGGCGTTTCAGACGCCGTGATGTGCAGGGCCTTCTACTCAACCCTCACCGGTCGGGCGGCAGAATGGTTCCGAACCCTGCAGCCGGGGTCAATCGACAAATTTGAGACCCTGGCGATCAAGTTTGTACGGAAGTTCATTACTTCCAAAGCGGTGAGGAAGTCCTATATGTACCTCGAAAAGGCCAAGCAGCTCGAAGGGGAAAGCTTGACCGACTTCCTCGTCAAGTGGAAGGCAGCAGTTGGGGAGGTCGAGCCCATGGATGATGCGACCGCCACTCACATGCTTCACATCTCCCTCCGGGCGGGGTATCTTTACCAGGATTTTATCCTCCACCCCCCGACCACATATGAGGAGGCCCTCCGAAGGGTCACTGATTACGCCAACGCAGGTGAGGCGAATGCGGTCAAGCGCTTGCAGGAGGTCGGCTCTTCGTCCCGTAAACCGGCCGGCCGGGCGGAACATCGGTCGGGAGATGACCATCCCCGATCCCGCACCAAGCCTGGCGAGTTTACGGCCTTAAACCGATCCGCGGCGGAGGCTATGCAGTACGCTCAGTCCTGCAATCTCATCAAACTCCCCCATCCCGATCGAGACGGCCCTGACAAGAGTAAGCACTGTGCTTACCATCGATGTGCCGGGCATGACACCGAGGAGTGTACCCACTTGCGCCAATTATTGGAAGATTTGCTCAATTTGGGAAAATTGGACAAGTGTGTGGGAAAGAGAGAAGACAGCAAGAGAAATACCGATCGGAGGGATCACAGACGATCTCATCACCGCTCTGATCGGTCGGGCCAGGACCGAAGAGACGATCGAAGGGACGATCGTCATGACGACCGACGGGACCCTGACCCTCCGTCCGGTAGCCGCCCATCCGGAAAACCTACCATCCACGTCATTTTTGGTGGGCTGGAAGATGCTTCCCGACCGAGGACGAATTGCCCGGTCGCAGTAGTGGATTCCCGAGAGACCGGGAAGAGGCAGAAGATGGAGCCCATAACCTTCACCCTCGAGGACCAACCTACCAGCAGTGATCACGGCATGGAGGCGCTCGTGGTCACAATTGACGTTAAGGGGACGGACGTCCAAAGGGTTATGGTTGACACGGGCAGCAGTGTGAACGTCCTATACTTGGACGTGTTTGAGAAGCTTGGCCTTGACAGGAAGGAGCTGACTCCGGTCGGTGTACCACTGTCAGGATTTACCGGGGCTCTTGTTTACCCCGAGGGAAAAATAACGCTCCCGGTCGAGATCGGCACGCCTCCAAAGTCGATCCAAACGGAGCTGTAATTTGTTGTGGTCAACCTCCACTGCGTCCACAACATTATCTTGGGCCGACCCGCCATTATGAAGATCGGTGGGATAATTTCTATGCCTCACCTATGCATGAAATTCCCCACCCCCAACGGGGTCGGCGTGGTCCGTGGCGATGTCCAATCCGCCCGGAAGTGTTACACCCGAGCGGTCAATAGACGTGACTCCGGTCCGTCTTCCCGGGTGAACACCATAGCCAAGGAGGAGGCTAAGGAACGGAAGGAGCAGCCTGAGCCTTCCGAAGAGATTGAAGAAGTTCCCCTGTCCGAGGACCGCCCGGACAGGAAGATCAAGATTGGCCGAGCCCTCACTCCCGAGCTCCGAGCGGAAGTTCTGGCCGTGCTCCAGGAGTACGCCGATATTTTTGCATGGGGGCCTGAAGACATGCCCGGGATCGATCGGTCGGTCATTTGTCACAAATTGACCGTCGATCCCGCAGCTAAGCCGGTCGTGCAAAAGACACGACACCTCTCCTCCGATCGCCGCGAGTTTGTAAGAGAAGAAGTCAAAAAGATGGCGGCGATCGAGCACATCTGTCCGGTGGTCTATCTTGAGTGGGTGGCAAATATTGTTCTTGTTCCTAAGCCCCCAGCATGGAGGATGTGCATCGACTTTACGGACCTCAACAAAGCCTGTCCGCTCGACCCGTATCCTCTACCGAGCATTCATCAGATGGTCGACGAGACGGCTGGGGCCGAGTTAATGAGCTTCATGGATGCCTTTAAGGGATACCATCAGATCATGATGCACCATGAAGACGAGAGCAAGACAGCCTTCGTGACCCCGGATGGGCTGTATTGTTACCGAGTGATGCCGTTCGGCCTCCGAAACGCAGGAGCGACCTACCAAAGGATGGTCAACATGCTCTTTGCTGATCTGCTGGGCCGAACGATGGAAGCTTACATCGACGATATGTTGGTCAAGAGTCGGGACCGATCCGACCACACTCGGGACCTTCGGGAGTGCTTCCAGATCATGAGGAAGTACCAGTTGCGGCTGAACCCGACCAAGTGTACATTCGCGGTTCAGACCGGCAAGTTCCTCGGCTATATGATGACTAAGAGAGGAATCGAGCCTAACCCGGCCAAAGTAAAAGCGATTCTGGACATGCAGCCGCCTTCCACCGTTCGGGAAGTCCAGCAATTGACCGGTCGGTTGGCAGCCCTCAGCCGGTTCCTCTCCAAGTTAGCCGAGCGCGCTTTACCTTTCTTCAAGGTATTGCGGAAGGTTAAAGGATTCGTCTGGGACGAAGAATGCCGAGCGGCTTTTGACGAGCTGAAGGAGTATCTCATGTCTCCAATCGTGCTCTCGAAGCCCGAGCCCGGAGAAGAGCTAGACGTGTACCTCGCCGTGTCCGATCGTGCAGTAAGCGCAGTATTGTGCCGTACCGATCCGGAAGGGGTCCAGCGACCGGTGTACTATGTAAGCCACGCGCTACATGGTCCCGAGCTCCGGTACTCCCGGCTAGAGAAGGTCGTCTATGCCTTATACATTGCTGCAAAGAAGTTGGCTCCCTACTTCCAAGGTCGAGCAATTCGCGTGTTGACCGACCAGCCGATCGGGCCAGTCCTCCGAACTGCTTCATCATCAGGTCGCCTAGTCAAATGGGCGTTAATGTTGACCCAGTACGTGATCGAATACCGACCAAGACCGGCTATTAAAGGTCAAGCTCTTGCGGATTTCTTGGTTGAGTGCACCGCCCGGGATACCCGGCCTCCTGGGGTTGCGGATCCCGAGGCTGAGTGGTGGTCGCTGGCTACAGATGGGTCGAGTAGCAAAAAAGGGGCAGGGGGAGGAGTAGTGGTCACG